TTTTCTCATCTTCAGGCATTACTTCTCTCGAAAATGAAACACCTGCTAGGCTAAAAGCACAGTCTGTGTAAAACTAATTGTGAAGGAGGAGGGGGAAATGAAATAATGAGTGGAAGGACTACTTTCAGCCTTACAAACAATAGTAAGGTGATTCTTTAACTGTAATTTATCTTCCTGTTCAGCATCTTCTATGCTAAATGAATGCCTTCAGCATACTGGGATTTTAGGATATTAGGTATTGAGCATACCATACTCATGAACTAATGCAAATAAATTATTAATGTTGTCATCTATGGAATCTTCCATTCAGTAGTAATGCTAGGAAGCTCATCATCAAATTATCTGAGGAGTACCAAGACATCTAACCTACCATAGAGTTTTTAAAAACTGGGAACAGGCAAAAAGAAAAAGAAATCAGAGTTTTAAGTATATTTTCCCTTCAAAAAGAGTGAAAACAGGGTTAATTATTATATGCAATTTAATGTAAAATATTTCAACATACCTGTATAATTATCCCAAGCAAAGGTGTTATAGGTAACTAGGGATTTTGTAGTTTGTCTCTGGAATGATTGAAGAGACCATAAAAATTATCTTTATCATCCTAATTCTGTCATGTAATATTATTCAGTTGTATAATTATGTCCTTATAGCCAAGGTCTTGTATCTTTTTTTATAATTAATATTTTTAGTGCATGACATATTAAAAGGCTATTTACAATTAAGTAGACTCATGCATAATTGTCTCTAGAACAGAAGTACAAATGATGATGCTTAAAAGTAGCAATTTTATGGAAACTTATAAAGAGATTTTTTTGTGTCACTAATTTGCATTAAGTACCACCTTGACTTTTGTGTTCAATATGAAAAAAAAAAGTCTGGGATTTGAATCTTTTGGTAATCATTTGGTAACCTTGTATTTTGGCCCAATTAGTTGGACTTTCATTACACATGCTGCTCTTCAGTTTGAAGCTACTGAAAATCTTCAGGTAAATAAGTTCAATTGTACTTGGTATTTCCAGAGGGAGAAAACGATCCATTATTCAAGACAGGCTTGTAGATATATACTAATAATCTACTAGTCTGCTAACATGTCTCCTCAACTCATCTCTTGTATCTTCTTCTACCAAATAGTTATTAGCTCTTCTCACCCTACCCCACTCCCTACCCCTCACAATTGAGCACTGTATAACTCTGTTGCTTGACTGGCATAAATCATTACTAGCCTGAAATAGTATGTGAGTGGCCATCTGCAAGGCTACATTCAGTATCACCTTGCTTTTCTCCTTATCCTTCATATATTCTTATACTGATGAGATTGAATGTAAGAAAGCAGATTTCCTTCTCTCTAAATTACATTGCTTCCTCCCCCCCACCCCCAAAGATATTGAAGGGAACAAAGAGTTCTTTTTTTTTTTTTTGCTTTTGTTTCTTCTAAATTAGAGTCCACTGCATGCTGGAAGTACCTTTTATTTTAAATACTTTTATCAAGGCCGTGTCTATATGATGGCAGAACAGCTGGTCTAGTTGGTCAATTCAGTGAGAGAAAAAAAGTCTGTCAAAATCAGTTCTTTGACCAAATTGACTATTTCATTGGATTGGCTGGTCAATTTGGTTAAAAGGGTCAGTCTGTTACATCCATGTAGGTATAATCTAGGTCTCGTAAAAGTGAATAACTAAAGTTTCTGTTAGAACCAGAAATGTTTAATTTGTTATAAAAAGCATTAGAAATTCATGCCAATGGATTGATAATGCCTGTTAAAATATGACATCATATTTTGGACATCATATGTCCAAGCATTGTCATTAAAGGTAGCTCTGTCAGAGCAATAAAAAAAATAAACATTGTGCTAATTTCATAATAAAAGCAATTGATCTCTGTGAAGAAGAAAGTTGTTATGTCTCCCGTTACTGAAAAAAAAATGTTTGAGAAAATAGCACTTAGCAAAGTGCCTAGCACATAGTAAGCGCTTAAATGCTGGTTGACTTAGTAACTAGCTAGCTTTTTATTCAGAACCTCTCAACCCTCAATACTGAAAAAAGCAGTAATTCTATTTATGAAATAATATTGAACAAATCCTGGTGTGGCTTATTTCATCTTGATATCCCACAATATATCCAATTAAAGAATTCTTGTCTAGAGGTATAAATTTTTAAGCAATTTTAGAACTCCATGCAAATAGATGAAGTGTCCTTTTAGATAGCTTTCCTTTGATCGAAGTCAATTACATTAATGTGCATGTTAAATGAGTTTTTTGTGTATGTGGTTGTGTTATATATTATTTTGTATATCTGGATGTATACTTCAAATGAACATACAATATATACATATAATATGGATGAAATAATGATAATATGCATATAATATGAATGGAAAAAAGTTGCTAAATGTACAATATTCTATGGCATAATATAACATGGCATAAAATACAATAGATTTGTCGATTTTGTTTTAGTTTGCCGGATAAAATATTTGTTAAATCATTATAATGTTTTGTCTTAGATCTGACAGTATATTATATTGACTTTTTATTCTTACTCAACATTTTGATTATCATAAGAAACTGCAAATAAATACTAAGAATTACCTGTTGAAGACCTGATCATCTCTGGTCTCTCACTAAATAAAGACAAAGATCAACGTGTTTAAATTGAAAAGGGCATCTTTCATTCATTCCTGTTGAACAAGAATAACTTCTGAGTGTCATCAGTAAAATGGGTGATAACTTGCTAAAAGTATTAATTTCTGCTTATAGTTTTCGCATCCCTGTGTACTCATGTGAGCCAACAGATATCCAACAACAATTTCTTTTATGCTATTATTTAAATAAATATATACATTATCAAATATATTTTGCAAAATATCACAAAAGGAGGTTCAATGCTCCACCTCCCCTTAGACTAAAAGTTCTTTTGTTTTATTTCTAAGTTAACCGAAAGAAATTCGTGGAAAGGTTAGAATCCACTTTAAATAGAAATCTCATTCCTAACAATTCCTTGGTAATACCCCGAATAGTTTATTTCACTTTCATGTGCCCTCTATTTAATTAGCATTTATTTTATTTCCCCTTCTGATCTAGACAAGTCCATCAACCAGTGGTATGAAACGTAACAATTGAACACAATGTCAAAGCTACTACATTTTAAACAGGCAGTATTTTTACATCTCGAAAGATACATTTTTGCCTTTACTTTAGGAACTTTAGAAAAGAAACTGGAAAATGTTAACATCCCAGTGCTGAATTTTCAGTCCTAAACAAGTGCATTTTAACTCCAGCCTTTAAGGGTAACATAACTTCCAGTTTGATTGACTCCTGATCAGCCCTGCAATTCACCTTCTTCATTCTTGGCCGGGCTCAAATATAGAGAAGTGGATGATGTCTACCAGGCCAAAGTATAAACTAGTCATTTATCTACTAAAGTCATATTTAATGAAAAGGAAGAGATATTATTGCTCAGCTAGCTCTCTTTCTCATTACAATTCCTAAAGAACTTTTTGCTGGGCACATTATCTCGTAGACATCATGATCAAATGTTATTGTTTGCTTTATTATCTCAGTTGGATGGTTGGCTACTCTAGAATGAAATAGGTTGAAGGCAATACTCGCAGCCTAGAAGTGTGAATGAGGTTCCCATTCAAATGATCACGATTGTTTGGGGGTGGGGCGGGGTGATTAGTAAGCCAACTAAGCTTACACTGCATAGTAAGCGTCTGGATGCAGCACATTTACATCTAACAAGAGACCCCAGAAAACGTGTGTGTGTTTCTTAAACCTTATGTTCGGAACAAAAGGCTATCTCAGCAACAGACAATCAGCGCTGCAACTGCTCGCTGGGATGCGAGCAACACACAGAACTGCATATTTCACTCCCCCCACCCTTCCACTCCCGCCCAGCTCCCGGCACCACAAAGCCTCAACCCTCTTCCCACTCCAGGGTCCCCAGACTGCTACATAGTGGGGGGAGGGGTCGGGAAAGCAGCCTGTGCAGGCGGCTCACCCGCCTGGATTGGGGGCCCCTGGCACTTGCTTTCCACAGCCAAAGCCGCCTGGGGGAGATAGGGAGGAGAGACACCGAGGACCGCACACCTAGTCACTTGTTTTATTTATTCATTTTGGGGACTGGGGGTGTGGTGGGGGAGCGGTAAAGGGCCTGAGTAGACTAATTCTTTATCCCCCCTGAAGTTATTTCTTCTCTGAAGCCTGAGTCATTTGTTTTCTGATTGGTGTTGGGAGCTTGGGACAAGGCGTGGGTGGGGACCTAGGTTCCCCGGCCCAGGCGAGGTCTTCTCAGGTCTATGGGGGAAGGATTAAGATGAGCAGTGGCGGGGGGAAAGGAGGACGGTGGAGTGGGAGTGAGTGAGTGTGTGTGTTTGTGTGTGTGCTTGTGTAAGGGGGTAGAGGGCAATCTGGTCACAGCTGTTGGTACAGGGATATGGAGAAGACACTGTCCCTGTGTCCCTGCCGCAGGGAGGGTGGGGGTGTGGGTTCAGGACAGCCACTGCTGCTGCCTGGGGAGTTGGAGGCACCCGTGTGGCCCAAGAGGGGAAAGCTGGGGGACCTTTGACCAACGGGGTTGGGACGGCGGCATTGGAGGGAAAGAGAGGATGATCCCCTCCCCAAGGTATTTCCCTCATTCACTGGGATGCCTGGGGACTGAAAGGAGGGAAGAGAGAGAAGCAGAAAAAACGATTCGATTCCCCGCCCGCTTAATCATGACCTCCTGGCCACCTCCAGGCAGCGTTTGCACGTTCCTGTGCTGCCGCAGCAGCCCCAGCCATGTAACATGACCCGTGCAGCCAGGGCCCTGTGCAGCTCAGCCATTGAGCTCTCCCTGCACATGAATCTCTTGCGTGTCTCTCCCTCTCTCTCCCTCCTCCTCTTTCTCCCCCTCTCTCTGTTGGCTCTCCTCTGTCTCCCTCTCTCTCTCCACTGCCTCTGTCTCTTCTGCCTGTCTCTCCCTTTCTCTCTTTTCTCAGCACTGCCCCGCTGTCTCGTCTGGCTCTCCTCTCTCCCTCTTCTCAGCCTCTCTCGATCTCTTTCTCCCTCTCTCTCTCCTTTGAAAACTGATCTTTGGCTCTTAGTGTGAAAGTGATTTGAATTTGGCTCGGCGGCGCTCTGCGCCTGCGCCCAGCCTCTGGCATGCTGGCTCTTTCCAAGCAGCTGTTTTGGGTTTGAAATTCCAACATGGCAGAGGCTGCAGTCAGTCTTCCCTTCAAAAACTTGGAATGATTTCAAATCATAGGCACCTTCACTTAACCCGAGCTCCCATTCATCAGCAAACACATCGGATCGATGCTACTCTAACCTATCGGGTTCTTGAACCACACATTCAGGTAAGACCATGTTTGTAGTTTCTTACTATCTGTTAAAAAAATTTTTTTAATCTAAATATATCCGAGACCTGCAATAAAAAGAGACCGGCGACTTGTACTGTAAATATTTAATTTAACTTGCAATCGTTTATATTAAATACGCCAACCCACTGTCTAATCGTATGTAGAAAGTAGCACTAAAACATTGTAATGCATATTTTTTTGCTGCTTAATCTTTGCTAACAATAGTATGAGATTAAGAGTTCGAGATTGCAAGATTCCCGGTTTCCTCTTAATTGGATTTACTTATTCTTTCCTTTACTTAAAAAATAAGAAAGTGGACGTACAGGGTGGGGCTAGACTTTCTTCGGGAACTAACTTCTAAGTAAATAAGAAGTGTAAATAAGAATCTTGGAGAAAAAAAAAAGTTGAGGTTAAATTACAATCCCTTAGCTGGGGGGGACGGGAAAATGTCAGAGGATCTGTTGCAGTAAAATGTAAGCACATCATCTTGGAGGGGGTACAGCGTGGTGGGCGTATTGTTGGCTGGGAACGGGAGAGAAAGATGTATAATTTAATGGTATATACAATCCACTGATCCTATTACTATCCTCCCTGGAGCTCTTGTTAGTTTCAATGGGAGTGAGTGAAATTGACATGGACTTGCATTCCTGGTCATGTGCTTTTTTTCCTTTCTTTCTTCTCTTGTGATCTGAGATCCCCTTTTTGTTGATGTTGCTTTCCCACTTAATTATATGCATGTAGGTTAAATGAATACCTGACGAAAGGGCCCACGTTTCAAGGCAGTGACATTTGATAGCTGAGAGGAAAAGTGGCTTTAATGAAAAGCAACCTTTGGAATTCCTGCTTGTGAGAAATCCAATTCAGCTTTTTGTGCTGCCAGCAAGAAATGATCAGTAGCACCAGTGTTTATGGTATGTCAGTTTTGGGATCTACTTCCTTTGCATCTAAATAGGAAAGACAAATGAAATAGCATGATAAAACTAGTGAGCATTTTGCATGTAAAACATATGCTCAAAATAAATAATTTATATTTTTATGTCTTAATTTATTACGATGTTTTTTTATTTTGCTTTCATTTGGCCATTTCAGCTTTTGATTACTTATGTCCACTTCTATTGATTTTAGCCGTAATCTCAAAGTTGCATGTTACTAGTAATGCACTATAAACACTACTAAACTCAAATGGTATGTAAATGAACCAAACTCAGAAACTTGGGGGAGGGGAGATAGAGAAATACGGTTACTAATGAACAAATATATGTATGTATGTGTGTACACTCAAATATAACTTATTGTCTTTTTGAAACTTGATGTTATTGACTTTGTAGATGATTTCATTCTATGGGATAATCGGTTCTGAATGTGTGTTCAGTACTGAGTGTGTGGAAGGGATACGGTTTGCATGTAAACAAAAATACATTTTGACCGATTAACATCTTTAATGACTAATGATGAGCAAAGTGATATTTTTCTTGTGTTGTACTTGTCTTCCTGTCAATGCTTTTTACTTTGAACATGTGACAATTAAATAGGCACAGAATTGACTTTATTTTAAATATCTCATTCCTCTTTCGCTACCAAAAAAAAAAAAGGTCAGATAAAACGGAGCGAGGGGGACTTCAATAGCACTCTTTGCAAAACACAATGTACACTTTCAGATCTCCAAGTAAGACTGAGTGGACAACAACAACAAAAGATATTGAAGTATTTTGCATAACCAAAGGATATGTTCACTTTCAACCACTGTTGTTGCCACCACTTCTCCCATCTCCTCACAGCCTCTACCTCCCTTCCAGTTCCCCATCCACACCTAAAAAAGAAAAGAAATAAGGATGGGGCAAAGCTGCTAGGGGTCTGGAGTGCGGTCCTGGTCACTGCTCTCACCACGCAAATGTGAATGCAAGGAAGGGGGAAGGATTCAAAGAGCAGCGGCGCAAGCCGTGCTCTTCCAGTTTGACTCTCTATAGGTGACCATATAGCTAAACAGACGCGCAGACCTCCTATACAATAGGAACAATTTGATTGAATTTTGCATTTGGAACTTGTTGACTTTGAAGCGATCAATAAGACGACTGTTTATTTTAAATGCACATAATTTGCCCTGAGAAATGTTTTAAGGAGGGGAGAGCACAGCTTTTTCTCCCGGAGCTGTTGGAGCGAATGAGATTGCCAGATGGGAGATTTCCCTCTGTGATGTTAAAGCTGTAATATATATTCAGAGCAGATTGGGCTGCTGCTTGTGATGAGGAGGATATTACATTTATAAATTTTAAATCGGAGATTGGACAATGTGCTGAGAGCTGAAATTGGATGGTTTGGCTGTTCACCGTATTGATAGTTAAATGTGATTTCCGGGTAGTTGTAATAATGATCATTACAATAATATATAAAGAACATGTTGGGGTTAGGCCATCATATAATCCATGTCACTTAGCTGCAGATTCAAATATGCATTTCCCTCGAATTTCTGCTTACTACTAAAGCGCAGCCAAGTTTATATCTGCATGTGTTTCAATGACCACTATACAGATGATCATCACTTAGGATTTATATAATCAGCTACTAGCATTCTGGGAAAGTCCATAATATAGAGACAAAACAGCAATTCCATTACTTTTCTTTCATTTTTAATTGGATTTTATTTTATTTTATGTTTTTTTTTTTTAGTTTGTGTTTGGTTTAGAAACGTGGCCTAAATCAACCAGAGCCACAAACCTAAAAGACTGGAAAGTGGGAAAGTCCTTATTCTCTAGCAGCTCTGCTGTTGCAAATTAAAAGTGTGTTGTGGTCAGGAAATGAAAGCTACAATGTCTCTTTTGAACAAGTCGTTTATCAAGAGAAACATCTATCAGGCAGCGACTTGTCACATTGATCCTCTAAAAGTTAGGTCCGAGGTGGAAACTGCTTTGATGTTTTTTGATCCTAAATTTATAAAAACTGAAAAAGCAAGAAAGGACCAGACCAGTAGAAATCTTTAAAAAGAAAGGAAGGAAGAAAACTATTTTTAAGAACCTGCAAGAACTATTTATTAGCACTTTATTGTGTGAAAAAAATATTTAAGATGTAGCAGTTAGAGTGCAGGAGTGATCCCACTATGTAGGAACTGAAGCTTACTTTTAATAAACCTAGTAGATACCTAGTGTCATTAAGTAGGTTTTCTGCTTAAAGTTGTGCACAGCAACTTTCACGTGATTCTTAAATTATCTTGAGCTATTTTGGAATAGTATGCTTTCAGTAATTCGAGTTTACATTCTTCCCATTTCCTTTTCCCTCTTTCTTTAATTCCCATATGTTAATTACTATCTCAGTTATATTAATGACAAGTATGATGTATTTCAGAGGGGAATATGTTCTCCACTGTATAGCTTATATTTGAGTGTCCTTTAGTACATCCATCTTTATTTGTATAATAAAGGAAGAGTTTTGCCACATTTAAGCCATTAAGATTGCTTGTTCTTTGCCACTTTAAATTGAGTATACTTGTCAGATTAATCATGGTATGCACTTTTTAAGTATGAAATAGTTGCATGTACTGTTTCAACTTTTTTTCCAAATTGTTCCTAAAAAACTCAAGTTATGAAAACATTTTGTTGAAGAGTTTAAAGGCTCCTGCTCTGTTTTTTAGCTAAGATATTAGTGAAGCTCTTGGTAGAATTAGCTTTTGGACGTTTTCTCCTTGAAATAAATGGCACTGGAGTTCACACTGCTGATAGCTACTTGTTATTACATCTAGATATCTCTGCAGCCAGGCAAAAAAGAGCATGGTGGGAGTTTTGGTGGGGGGACTACTTGCTAATTAATCATGTCTAAAATGAAAGAACCATAGCATCTATATGTAAGTGGTATTTGTATGAGTTGACTTTCAATCTTCCCTTCTCATGGGATAAAGGCTCTCATTTGGATTATTAGTGTATTTTTTTTAAATAGAGTATGTTTTCATCCTTCTATTACCACCCAAGATTCTTAATTCTGTACTTGATCTCTCTGTATGTGTGTATGCACATTTTTTACCTTTAGTAATACTTAAGTCTAACATACAGGCACTCAAATTTTAAGTATGTTCAGAAACTTTCCCTTCATATGGTAATTTTCCCTTTCACATAAACAAGAAATTAGATTTTTATTCATGTTTTAAAGTAAGCGGGCATTTAAGGAATATTTCTATAAGCAGACACTCCTGTTGTGTGCCCTTTTATATGAAGAGACCATCAATAGCTCACTTTTAGCTTATATAGCTATATAATGAACTGAAAAGGGAAAAAAAGGGAAGTGAATATAGATAACACTTCCAAGAATTTGTAGTCATTTGGCATTGTTCAAATCAGTATTTCTGAAGTAGTTAAACATTTTAGTAATGTGAAAAGACAAATGAATAACATTGTGAAAGCTGAATTATTTGACTTTGGGGTTTTAGCTGGCAGTTTTTAGAATTTCTCAACCTAATCTTGCCTGAGTATAGAGGAAGATATCTAACCTTGGCTAACATGCTCTATATTTCTGAATTATCATCTTATTGTAAAGCGTGCTGAGTTGGGGTTTCCCTGTATATATTTTGAATGTTCATATTCATTGAATGATGAGTCTGTTCTATGAAGTTAATCACTTTTAATGGTACAAAATCAAGAAGACAGCTCTGTGTATTTGAACAATTGTATGTCATGTTGTTTGAAGCATTCTAGTCTGTACCTGCATCCCTGGCTCTAATAGAAAATTTTGGCGCTTTGCCTCTGATCAATATATCTCTTAAGAGAACAAACTTCACATAATACTTTCATAAAGTGCCAGATTTATTGATGTAGAGTTGATAAATTTAATTACCAGGATTTTGCATTGATTTATTGATTTTGTGATTGGGAGAAATTGTTCTGCAGACATTTATGTGAAGTATTGAAGCATGCTGCTAATCGATAAGACTTGATTAATCAGCACATCTCTTGTTTTGTTTTGTTGCTCTCCCCCAACTCAACTAAGTTGCTGTTAGACCAACCTCGACAAATGATACACAGAAAATAGTGCAATAATTTTCTGATAAGACAGTTTTATTCTGGTGCCACTTTTCCTTATTACTTTTTGAATGGATCCTAGGAAGGGTTGTAAATCTCCATGAAAATTGTGTTAAAATTATTCTGACTTGTTAGGCACCACTATTTGACAGATTGAAATTCCTAAGATTATCTAGTGTTTTAACTACAAAACTAACTAACTAAATAAATAAATAACCACAATATTTCAGCAAGGACAATTTAGCAACAGCAAGTGTAATTAATTTTTAAGGTTGATTAAAAGATAATAACTAAAATGTCTCTTATGTAAAAGAAGTTTTTATAGTTTGATTTTTTAAAGACATATTTGTTATTTCTGTTTAAAAAGGCTTATCATTGACTATTTGGGATAGAAGTTTTAGGCATTAAGTGTCAGCTGTTGCAAAATGATTTCTGATTATTATTGATGTTATCAAGTGTCCCAACTTTCCTTATTGGAAAGTATAGTTTGGATTGAAATAGAATTTTGATTGTTAAAATAAAGGGTACCTATGGATAGGGTCTGAATAAACTTTGCAAGTAAATAAGTTTCAGGCAAATTGATAGCAGGGTGGATATGGTGCATCCTTGGAGCAATACTACATTTGAATGAATGCTTTTCCTCAGTATGAATGCATTCTATACTAATATACCTGTTGACATTTGTGGGACTAAGGATAGATAAAATGGAAAAGGCAGTGAATAAGGGATGTAACAACCATTGCAAATGCTTATGATGTTTACACAATTTTATTTGATGCATATCATCACTTTGCCTTATTGTCGATATGTTGATGAAGTTGATTAACATTATACTATGGTAAAATTACAATAACACCATGCTTGGCAACATTAAACTCTCATGAGATTTTAATTCAGCTGGATTTACT